GAAATTGTACTGCAAGGTTCCATACCACAAAAGGAAAGCTGGGATTGAGTTTATGGGTGATGAATCATAAGGGGGTTCAAAAAATTTGGGGGGGGGATTTTTTTTTCCTTTTTTTTCTTTAAAATTTACCATTTTAAATTGGTTATTTCTGATTTATATATAAAAAGCAAATAATAATGATATGGTTTGAATAGGTAAATTAAAATTTTTTAAGTTATTAGACCACTTTCATTCTGTGTCAGAAACCTATGTTGTGTCAAATATTTAATTACAATCCAAATTCAGTGCTGCATCAAGCTTGAATGTTGTGTCCATACTTGCCCCAACTGTTCAGGCCTCGACCTCTGCGGTCGTATCAAGCTGCGCCCCAGCGGAGCATTTTATTGTGTTTTGGTCTGTTTTTCTTAAACTATAAGCAATAGGTCAACTATATTTGTTGTATGGAAGAAATGTTAGCTGTACATGCCTGCCTAGCATGGTTCATCTGACCTTAACCTCATTTTCATGGTTCATTGGTTAACTTAATGTTTAGTTTACTTGGTTAATGTTAAGTTTATGTGACAGTTGTAATAAAGCTTTATATTTAGGACTATCAACATAATATCAATGATTAGTAAAGAAGGCGAGACATTTCAGCGTGTGCACTCTTGTTTATCAGCTCATAGACATAATTTTGTCATGTGATCGTGACGTCATCAACGTTTTTTCATGATTTACTCCGGTTTGAAATGGAATTAAGAATTAAATTATAAGAAATGACTGTAATATTTTTTCTGCCTATTCAAAATAAGATATAAAATGTGGTGCACACTTTAAATAACCCGCTACGTGGGTTATTCAGTGTGCACCACATTTTTTATGTTATTTCTTCATAGACAGAAAAAATATTACAGTCATTCCTTAAATACATTATCCTATGACATGGAATAATTCAATAAATTTTCATCTAATAGGTGTAATACCACCAAATCATAGTACGTCACATCCGGTTGCATACGAAAATAGGTCGAAAAAAAATATTCCCTTGAATTTGACAGTTGTAAGTTATTGATCCTACATTTCATTGCAGTAAAACATTTCTGGGTCATAAATATATATCTTGGGTATTTCAAAGCACCATTATTTTTTTATTTGGGGTTTCTATAGAATACTTTGTTAACTTGAGGTTACATGGTTACTAAAGCTTGTACACAGGTTAAAAAAGGGGGAAAATTTGATTGGTTAACTTCCAGTGATGGTTATTGTCTTATATGCAATGAAATGTTATGTGAATTTTTTTCTATAGTACTGGACAGGATAAAACTTTACTCATGCCAAGTATTTCTTTATTTGAAACAAAGATAAATTCTGCACATTTTTTTGAAAAGTGCAAATTTAACATAGACTAATAGGGGAAAATCAATGGTGGTATTACACCTAATAGCAAGTACATGTAAGGGCGAATAACCCTCAAAATTGACACTTAGCGGTAAATAACCTTTTCAGCCATTTGTTTTTGCACAATTATCTCCCCCATAAAGATTATTTGACATCACATTTTCAGTCATGGTTCATTGACTTTGAAAATTTTTCAATAGTTTTCATGTTTAAATGTTGCTGTTTTAATTTAAACAATTGCATTAAACTATCAAAATTGCATATAGGCGAGACATATCCCTGTGTCAACAGTTTATTACATTATCACATTTCTAAGTATAGTGAACCATAAAAATGAGATCAAAACCTTTATTTAACATACAATTTAGAAAGATCATACTATAAGGAACATGCACATACCAAGTTTGAAGTTGATACGACTTCAACATCATAATAAACAACTTTTACCAAAAACATCTGGGACAGACCAGAAAGCATAATGCCACTGTATTATTTCTTTCAGGTCGTTTTTACGCTTAAAGTTGAGGTCGCAAATGCGGCCACAGATCAGCAATGATGTCCAAACAAATACCATACATTTATCAGAATCTGCATCACAAAAAAAACTGCTGCACAAAGGTCAGAGAATTACAGGGACAAAATAAAACAAGACCCTGAAAAATATATTGCATACTTAGAAAGAGAAAAAGAACGAAATAGAAAATGGAGGGAAAATTGGTCTTCTGAACAAAAAATCAATCAGAGGGAAAAAACGAGGTTACGAGTACGTAAATGGGGAGAAGAAAGAAAACCAGAGGAAATTGTTAAATTGAAAAAAAAACCTAAACCAAAAACACGTGCACAAGTAAGTTCAGAAAGAGAATACTGGCAGAGAAAAAAAGAAGAACAACGAGCAAAGTACTCAAGCCAAAAGAGAAGAAGAATTAATGAAAAAAGGCGGTTGCAATACAAATTGAATAAATCCAAGAGCACAACTGAAAACCTAATGCCAGCTGAATCAACAGAAACTCACCAAGGGTATTCAACAAAGGAAGCAGAAAGAAAGGCTGTGTACAGAGCCTCGTTGCATCTACCTTCATCACCTGAAAAGTTTGCATCTGTAGTTGGTGGGTTGACTGCTAAGGCAACTCCAAGAAAAAGAGAAGCATTGACCAAACATGGCCTTTTACTGACACCAACAAAAAAAAGACATCTTAGGATAAGCCAAGAAATAATCTGCAAGATGAAAGATGATTTGCATAAAACCAGAAAACATCGCACTAAGGAGGTTTTAAAGAAAAGAAGACTTTTAACTAGCTTCATACTTAAAGATGCTGAAAAGAGAAAGGCTGGCATTTCTTGGAAATTTGCAGTTAAATGTTCAAAACTTAAAGATGTATGGGAAGAAGATTCTGAAACACCAAAAAGAAGTGATGCTTTGACAGAAGATACAATTGACAAGATAGAAAAATTCTACAAAGATTTTGACACTGTATGTCTGCCGGATAAAAAACAGGCATCATTGAAATCTGAAGAACCAAAAAGAATCTTGCAGAGCAGTTTAAGGGACAACTACAATGAATTCCTTAAAGAAAACCAAGAATGTACATTAAATTTTTCCAAGTTCACTGCACTAAGACCCAAGACTGTACAGACTATGAGTAAATCTATTTTTAACAATTGTCTTTGTGAGTATTGTACAAATATTCAATATAAAGTAAAGGCACTAAATATTAAAGGAGTTAACACCAGATATGACTTGTTAGCAAGAACTGTATGCCAAAAACCAGAAGGATCTAGATATTACAAAATTGAATGTGTTAAAAGGTTATGCAAATTATGTGGGGTAGATAAGTTTATTTCCCAGTTAGACTTGAACAAAAGGCATATTATACAATGGTATAAATGGGAAACGCAGACGTATATGCATGCAAATGAAAAAAAATCAAAGAAGGTTCTAAGTTTAAAGAAAGAGAGTGTCAATAATTTCCTTGAAGAGCTCAAAAAAGAATTACAGCCATTCAGTGCTCACTTAAATACTGCCTGGTGGCAACATGACCAATTCAGACATGTGACACAGAATTTGCCGTCTGATTGGACTGTTTTCTGTAGTGATTTTGCAGAAAATTATACATGTATATACCAGGATGAAGCACAAAGTGCACATTGGTCTCATGACACAGTTACTCTTTTCAGCATTGTTGCCTACATCAGATGCAAATTCTGTAAGTTAGTCGTAACTCAAAGCATGATCTATGTGTCAGAAGACAAAAAGCATGACTTTCATTATGTTCAACATTGTATTTCATTGGCAAACGAGTATATACAAAGAGTTTATGAGATTAAATCTAAGAGGCAGATTCACTTCAGTGATGGAGCAGCATCACAGTTCAAGTCGAAAACCCCATTTGCAGATGCTCTTCACAGCAAATCAGACTTTGGTTTTCCTGTTGAGAAACACTTCTTTGGAAGCAGGCATGGTAAAGGACCATGTGATGGTGAATTCGGGGTTATTAAAAGAATTGTAACAAATGCTGTAAAAAACAGAAAAGCCATGGTGAAAAATGCAAGTGAATTCTTTGATTTTGCAGAGGCAAATTTAAGACGGCCAACACTAGACTCGCAGAATGAATGTTGTCATTTTAGAAGAAATTTCTTCATAGTAAAGGAAGGTGATGTCAACAGAAAACGCCAAGAGAGGACCAATGTGAAGGCTGTTCCTGAAACCAGACAACTTCATTCTGTGAGGGCTTCCAATGATTCGGCTTCTCTAGAAAAGCGCACACTTAGCTGTTTAAGCTCAACATGCATACAAGGATCTGGTTCCTGTCATAATGTAGACATGGTAGAAGGTTGGATAAAAGAGACACAAAGAAGACAGTTGAACAAGAAAGACACCTCTAAAAAAAGTAAGAAAGTTGACAAGAAAAATGTCAAAGGTTTGTTTAAGGAAACTCCAAGAAAACAGTTGAGCAAGAAAAACCAAAGAGCAACTCGTTCAAATAGCCACAAAAAAGCAGACTCACAAGATAGAATACTGGATTTACCAAAACAAAAAGAATTTAACAGACAAGACACAAAAGTTGAAGAATTGCACTCTCTTGAAAATACCTCACCACAAATCAATGAACTATCAGTCAATATTGCAAGAGTGCAAGATAATAAGGACACTCTTTTTGAAGGTATATTACAAACTTTGAAGAGCTCTACTACATTAGATGACATGATGATTAAAGGAACTGAACTCGCAAGTGTGATACCACATCTTAGGTGCAACAAAGATGAAGACATTTCTATTTCTGGAAGTGGGTTACATATTGACAAGCCCGGGATGGAACTGTTGCCGGATGATGTCAAGGAAGAAGGATATTTCCCTGCAAGTGTACTTGGTGATGGAAATTGCTTGCCTAGGTCTGCTAGTGTGATAATGTATGGAACAGAAAACAATCATACGGAACTACGTGTCAGAATTGCATTAGAACTGGCATGCTATTTGCCGCTGTATGTGGACCATACATATTTAAGGAGAGGTGAACAACTATCTGATAAAGAAGCGCTTGTTCTCCCAAAGTCTTACGTTATGTATTCAGAGCTGTATACACCTGGAGATATAATTACTTCATCTTTGATAGTAAGAACACTATTTGAAGAGATTAGGAAAGTATGCAGTGCAAATGAATTCATGGGAATTTGGCAGATTTTTGCACTTGCATCAGTTTTGGGAAGGCCTCTGCAATCAGTTTATCCAAATCGTGGAAATCCAAATGTGAGAAAAGATCTCAATCGATCAATCTTGCCAAGGGAAATGGAAAGCAACACACCTGCATATATCCTCTGGTCATCAAACATAAATGATGAAATGACATATGCTCATTGGATTCCAAACCATTTCTGTCCAATTTTGAAGATGTCCATAAATGATGATGTCCTTGAATACAGTACTGACACTCTTGGAGATATAGACCTGGAAAACATCAGCGGGTTGTCTGAGCAGCTGGCTTCATGGGTCATGGATTTACTTGATGACAGTGATTCAGACGTCAGCAATAACCAATATAATATGGTAAATATTTCTATAATGTTAGATGTGTTCATGATCATACAGTAATGGACAATGATGGAGCAACTTTTTTTTTAATAAGTTGTTTACTTTATTTAGCCTTTTTAACTTTATTGGATTCCAGCGTCACTGATGAGTCTTTTGTAGACGAAACGCGTGTCTGGCTAGATACAAAATTAATCCTTGTATCTATGATGAGATTTTTAAACAGTTAATGTATTGCTTTCACTTGGTACGTGGATTTGTTTTCACTTGATTATCACAGTGTGTAAGAATTATATGAATTATATGCTATTACATGCATTACAATTTCATGCTGTTTTTCAGGATGAGACCACAGCTGATCAACACTCCTCATTGGATAAACTGACAGATAACCAGTCCTCGATGACAGTTAAACCCATGGATGTCCAAACTTTTGCTTCAGTTCAACCGGAAGAGGCTCTGATGTCCAACTTGCAGGACAACAGTGAACAGAGCAACAATAGTATTGTTGTGTCTAAGGTATCTATATTTGTTATGTAAATTGCAGACCCAGACTTTGGGCATGATCATACAGTTATAATGGACAATGATGGAGCCACCCATTAAAAAAAAATTTTAAATAAGCTGTTTTAGACCCATTAATGTATTGCTTTCATTTGGTACGTGGATTTTTTTTGTCTTGATGATGAAAGGTGTGCAAGAATTTTATGCCATTACATGCATTACAATTTCATGCTGTTTTTCAGGATGAGACCACAGCTGATCAACACTCCTTATTGGATAAACTGACAGATAACCAGTCCTCGATGACAGTTAAACCCATGGATGTCCAACCTTTGCTTCAGTTCAACCGGAAGAGGCTCTGATGTCCAACTTGCAGGATAACAGTGAACAGAGCAACAATAGTATTGTTGTGTCTAAGGTATCTATATTTATTATGTAAATTGCAGACCCAGACTTTGGGCATGATCATACAGTTATAATGGACAATGATGGAGCCACCCATTAAAAAAAAATTAGATAAGCTGTTTTAGACCCATTAATGTATTGCTTTCATTTGGTACGTGGAACTTTTTTGTCTTGATGATGAAAGGTGTGCAAGAATTTTATGCCATTTCATGCATTACAATTTCATGCTGTTTTTCAGGATGAGACCACAGCTGATCAACACTCCTTATTGGATAAACTGACAGATAACCAGTCCTCGATGACAGTTAAACCCATGGATGTCCAAACTTTTGCTTCAGTTCAACCGGAAGAGGCTCTGATGTCCAACTTGCAGGATAACAGTGAACAGAGCAACAATAGTATTGTTGTGTCTAAGGTATCTATATTTATTATGTAAATTGCAGACCCAGACTTTGGGCATGATCATACAGTTATAATGGACAATGATGGAGCCACCCATTAAAAAAAAATTAAATAAGCTGTTTTAGACCCATTAATGTATTGCTTTCATTTGGTACGTGGAACTTTTTTGTCTTGATGATGAAAGGTGTGCAAGAATTTTATGCCATTACATGCATTACAATTTCATGCTGTTTTTCAGGATGAGACCACCACTGATCAACACTCCTTATTGGATAAACTGACAGATAACCAGTCCTTGATGACAGTTAAACCCATGGATGTCCAACCTTTTGCTTCAGTTCAACCGGAAGAGGCTCTGATGTCCAACTTGCAGGATAACAGTGAACAGAGGGACAATAGTATTGTACTGTTCCAAGAGAAGCCCTTATATGACCAGCTCTTAGTCTCTGAGCACTACACTAAAAGATATAATGAGCAACAGAGGTAAGGAAAATATTAGTGATGAATAGACTTGTTGTTTTAATGTACATAAGACAATAACATTCAAAATCAAGGAGTAAACAACAGACATTTACAAACAGTTAAAGTAAGTAAGTAACAACACGAACTCCACTTAAAACTGGCAGTGAAATCAGGTGCTCTGGAAGGGTAGGCATTTCCTGCACCGTATAAGGCACCTGTTGTGTTATTTCTTTGTCCAGTCCTTTAATGATGGAAGGCTACTTGTGACTGAGGAAGAATACTAGATACAATTTCTGACACACTTTTGTCATAATGGCAGATCAGCTCATGATGGCTATGATAAAATTTCTTGAGTGCTGACTGTAATTCCTGTCCAAGTAATGTTTCTACATATGTCTGATAACCATGTATGCAACTGTTCATAAATTATTGAAGTTGACTTCAGATATCAGTGTAATTATTTGTTCATAATTCAGCTTCCAAATTTACTCAACTTTATATTTACATTGTATTAGTTATATGAGTGGCAATATTTGCTTATTGCCCAAGGGACAAAAACATACCCTGCTGTTGTAAGTATTGCAGTTTTGTTCAGTTTAAGTTAAAGTTTTATTATGTTTTACTGTTATATTTTCTAGGATTGTTTTGCAGAAACTTCTAAATGTCTAATTAACCACTATTTTGTATCATACTTTTGTAAAAATTTTGAATTTCCAGAATTTTAATAAAGGGTTCTTGTATTCTAGATCGATCTTTAGTTCAAATAATTAGATATTATACATGTAGTAGGTTTTATAATTTCTATATAATTACATAAATTTCTAAAATGTAACTTTAAATTACACAATTTTAGAGGGATAAATAGTTAGTTTACACATATCATAATTATTTGTGATTGGGGTTTGCAACAACATCAGCCTACAGTTGTAATAAACAGTTTCTTTAACTTTTTGCTGATCTGATGAAATTGAACTGTATGGTATCGATATATAAGTGGTTGTTATTTTTTATACCTTTTTGAACAATAAAAAAATCAATACTGTGTTGTTTTAGGTTGATGTGTGGCCCTATGTTTACTTCTATACCCACAAGAAGGAGGACTTGTGGATAAGTGCATCGATACGCCATTCCATAATATCATCAGAGGTGGTCAAACCAATAGACCCGCCAGATGTCTGTTTGATTGGAACTAGACGATTTATGTACAAATTCAAAGGTAGATATGAGATTATTTATTAAACATAGTTTACATTATCCAAAGATATAGATATAAAAAAAATACAGTGTTTAAACTCAGATCACCCTTTTACATAGTAATTCAAGACCGATGTTTGTGAGTGATAGGCCAAGTCCACACAAACAAATAGAATAAGTCATAAATTATAATTCCAAAAAATGTTCAGTGATGATTCTGAATTATACCCCAAACTAAATTCAAGATGATGTATAACACATACATTGACATATATATTGAATGTGTTAATTTGTGTCCTGGCTGATACCAATTGAAACAAATACCTCAATTGAATGTAAATTTTTCGAGCCATTTGTTCACCAAGTATGTGGAAATTCATGTACATAATACATGTACATGTAGATAAAGTTATAAATCTTTCCAAGAACAACCAAGAAATATATACATTGTTTGTACTGTACAATGAAGGAATACATGTACCTTAACAGTTCAGATGTTCACACACACAGAGCAATGTTATTTTATTCATATAAATTTATTAATTTGGTTAAAATAGATATTTTGCCACACATGTATCATAGCAAAATGTAATATATATATATATGAATACTATAATGAAAAGTTCAGTTAATATCAAAAGTTAATGCTGTACCATTTTCCTCTTTTTCAGATCTTTGAACTTCAGGAATCTGTGCCAGAGAGTGTTCCAAGTTTTATGTCAAATAAAATATTTGGTTAACGTTTATATGCTTGAGTTTAACTACTGAAAATTTATTCTTGATTCCCTGTGTTTACATCTCTTCGTGGCTTTACTTAGTACTTATAATGTACATGTGTTCTGGGTAGCCCTTTAAAAATCAATTTTAAAACTGTATTAAAGATTCCATTTCACCGAAACTCCCTCCCAGCGGTTCCATGTTATTGACCAATGCGGAACAAGCAAATCACTGCCCACCTTAAATATATATGTTATTAACAATTAAGAAATTATGAACTGACATTTCATAAGAATCTAGACAACCAAAGCATGAGTAAAAAAGGGCAATCAATGGACAAAAGACATAACCAGGTGCAGGTCTGTGGTTTTCTCTGGGCACTCCGGCTTCCTCCAATAAAGACTGGCAGCAACAAAAAAGCCTAAATGCAGTGGTTAAAAGTGGTGTTAAAACACAAAAAAACAATCAATCAATATAGCAAAAGAAATATTCTAGATAGATCTAGACATTAAAAAACTCAACACAGAAAAAAACAGACCCCCAATAGTGTATTGATCACTAAATTTACCCCTATGGTGTTTCAATATATTAATTACTAAATTTATTCTTATGGTGTTTCAATGTGTAACAGACATTTGGTTCGCTCAAAATTTGTCCACATAACCTAGATTTAGACCGAAAAGAAAGATTTTTTGATGAGTTCTACACATTTATAGGTCAGTGGATGCTTTCTACAAAACTCAAATGACTATTTGAACATACAACAGGTTCTATAATTGTACGGGGGCTGTTACATTCTGTGACGATTGTTACATGGAATATTTAGACTTGTATTGAATTTCAACATCCTCTTGTTTAGTAGATGTTATATCTATTCTTTGTATAACTATTTTGATGGAGTTTCTATAAAATTCATTATCAAAATATAAGAAAACTTGACGCTTATTTTTTTTATTAGGATATTAGTTTTTGACACAATTTTTGGCATCATTGTAACTGGACCAGAGGTTTGCATAGTCAATATGTGTCCAAGGTGATCAGAGGTAACCTAAGTCAATATATGAACAGCGGTGTAAGATGACCAGAGGTCAACATAGTGAATATATGTACAAGGTGACCAAATTAAATGAGTGTTTAATGTGACCAGAGCATCATTGTAACTGGAACAGAGGTAAACATAGTCAATGTGTGTCCAAGGTGAACAGAGGTAACCTAAGTTAATTTATGAACAGCGGTGTAAGGTGACCAGAGGTAACCAACGTTAATATACATGTTTGGTGACCAGAAGTAACCAAAGTGAATGATTGTGTTATGTGACCATTATTGTAAGGTGACCAGAGGTCAATATACTGAATATATGTGTTTGGTGACCAGAAGTAACCGAAGTGAATGATTGTGTTATGTGAGCATTATTGTAAGGTGACCAGAGATCAACATAGTGAATATATGTACAAAGTGACCAGAGGTAACCAAATTAAATGAGTGTGTAATGTGACCAGAGCATCATTGTAACTGGACCAGAGGTTTGCATAGTCAATATGTGTCCAAGGTGATCAGAGGTAACCTAAGTCAATATATGAACAGCGGTGTAAGATGACCAGACGTTACCATAGTAAATATATGTGTTTGGTGACCAGAGGTAACCAAAATAAATGAGTGTGTAATGTGACCAGAGCATCATTGTACGTGGACCAGAGGTAAACATAGTCAATATGTGTCCAGGGTGACCAGTGGTAACCAACGTAAATAAATGAACAGCGGTGTAAAGTGACCTGAGGTTACCAACATCAATATATGTGTTTAATGACCAGAAGTAACCAAAGTGAATGATTGTGTTATGTGAGTATTATTGTAAGATGACCAGAGGTCAACATAGTGAATATATGTAGAAGTTGACCAGAGGTAACTTAATTAAATGATTTTGTACTGTGACCAGAGCATCATTGTAACTGGACCAGAGGTAAACATAGTCAATATGTGTCTAAGGTGACCAGAGGTAACCTAAGTCAATATATGAACAGCAGTGTAAGGTGACCAGAGGTAACCATAGTCAATATATGTGTTTGGTGACCAGAAGTAACCAAAGTGAATGATTGTGTTATGTGAGCATTATTGTAAGGTGACCAGAGGTAACCAACATCAATATATGTGTTTGGTGACTAGAAGTAACCAAAGTGAATAATTGTGTTATGTGAGCATTATTGTAAGGTGACCAGAGGTCAACATAGTGAATATATGTACAAGGTGACCACAGGTAACCAAATTAAATGAGTGTTTAATGTGACCAGAGCAATATTGTAACTGGACCAGAGGTAAACATAGTCAATGTGTGTCCAAGGTGAACAGAGGTAACCTAAGTTAATTTATGAACAGCGGTGTAAGGTGACCAGAGGTAACCAACGTTAATATACATGTTTGGTGACCAGAAGTAACCAAAGTGAATGATTGTGTTATGTGACCATTATTGTAAGGTGACCAGAGGTCAATATACTGAATATATGTGTTTGGTGACCAGAAGTAACCGAAGTGAATGATTGTGTTATGTGAGCATTATTGTAAGGTGACCAGAGATCAACATAGTGAATATATGTACAAAGTGACCAGAGGTAACCAAATTAAATGAGTGTGTAATGTGACCAGAGCATCATTGTAACTGGACCAGAGGTTTGCATAGTCAATATGTGTCCAAGGTGATCAGAGGTAACCTAAGTCAATATATGAACAGCGGTGTAAGATGACCAGAGGTTACCATAGTAAATATATGTGTTTGGTGACCAGAGGTAACCAAATTAAATGAGTGTGTAATGTGACCAGAGCATCATTGTACGTGGACCAGAGGTAAACATAGTCAATATGTGTCCAGGGTGACCAGTGGTAACCAACGTAAATATATGAACAGCGGTGTAAGGTGACCTGAGGTTACCAACATCAATATATGTGTTTAATGACCAGAAGTAACCAAAGTGAATGATTGTGTTATGTGAGTATTATTGTAAGATGACCAGAGGTCAACATAGTGAATATATGTAGAAGTTGACCTGAGGTAACTTAATTAAATGATTTTGTACTGTGACCAGAGCATCATTGTAACTGGACCAGATGTTAACATAGTCAATATGTGTCCAAGGTGACCAGAGGTAACCTAAGTCAATATATGAACAGCAGTGTAGGGTGACCAGAGGTAACCATAGTCAATATTGGTCCTGGAACAGAGTTATCGTCCCTTCAATTTCGGTGTCTACGAATATAGTCCCTAGTGTGAACAGTGTGTTTCTTGCTATTTTTCTTATACCCTTTCCACATTTATTTCTTCATGTTTCATGCCTCACATAGCAATTAGGGGAATGAAACTACACTATAAAAAAATTAGGTCATGGATTTTAGAGTAAAGAAGTGATTTGATCCAAGTAAAAATGGTTAAAAATTAGTATCTCGGAAGCTGTCAAAAGAATTCAAGACCCCTTTAACATAAAATTGTCCATATTTTGAGTTTTCTATAATTTTGCTATAATTTGTCCCAAAAGTAGTACACCATACTGTAAAAATATTATTGAGAAAGCGCAGGTGGGATTTTTTTAATTTCCATTTATTGTCTAAAAGAAATGCACTTCGAAATAACTGTGTTCTCCGGCCTTTAGTTGAAATGACCCGAGGTAACCAACGTCAATATATGTGTTTGATGACCAGAAGTAACCAAAGTGAATGATTGTGTTATGTGAGCATTATTGTAAGGTGACCAGAGGTTACAAACGTCAATATATGTGTTTGGTGATCAGAAGTAACTAAAGTGAATGATTGTGTTATGTGAGCATTATTGTAAGGTGACCACAGGTCAACATAGTGAATATATGTCCAAGGTGACCGCAGGTAACCTAAGTCAATATATATGTTTGGTGACCAGAAGTAACCAAAGTGAATGATTGTGTTATGTGAGCATTATTGTAAGTTGACCAGAGGTCAACATAGTGAATATATGTACAAGGTGACCAGAGTTAACCAAATTAATCGAGTGTGTAATGTGACCAGAGCATCATTTTAACTGGACCAGAGGTAAACATAGTCAATATGTATCCAAGGTGACCAGAAGTAACCTAAGTCAATATAAGAACAGCGCTGAATGGTGACCAGAGGTAACCAACGTCACTATATGTGTTCGATGACCAGAAGTAACCAAAGTGAATGATTATGTTATATGAGCATTATTGTAAGGTGACCAGAGGTCAACATAGTGCATATATGTACAAGGTGACCAGCGGTAACCAAATTAATCGAGAGTGTAATATGATCAGAGCATCATTGTAACTGGACCAGAGATAAACATAGTCAATATGTGTCCAAGGTGACCAGAAGTAACCTAAGTTAATATATGAACAGCGGTGTACGGTGACCAGAGGTAACCAACGTCACTATATGTGTTCGGTGACCAGAAGTAACCAAAGTGAATGATTGTGTTATGTGAGCAATATTGTAAGGTGACCAGAGGTTACCAACGTCAATATATGTGTTTGGTGATCAGAAGTAACCAAAGTGAATGATTGTGTTATGTGAGCATTATTGTAAGGTGACCAGAGGTCAACATAGTGAATATATGTTCAAGGTGACCAGAGGTAACCAAATTAATCGAGTGTGTACTATGACCAGAGCATCATTGTAACTGGACTAGAGGTTTACATAGTCAATATGTATTCAAGGTGAACCAGAGGTAACCTAAGTCAATATATGATCAGCGGTGTAAGATGACCAGGGGTAACCATAGTAAATATATGTGTTTGGTGACCAGAAGTAACCAAAGTGAATGATTTTGTTATGTGAGCATTATTGTAAGGTGACCAGAGGTCAACATAGTGAATATATGTGTTTGGTGACAAGAGGTAACCAAATTAAATGAGTGTGTAATGTGACCAGAGCATCGTTGTACGTGGACAAGAGGTAAACATAGTCAATATGTGTCCAGGGTGACCAGAGGTAACCAACGTCAATATATGAACAGCGGTGTAAGGTGACCAGAGGTAACCAACGTCAATATA